AACCTTTTAACCATATCAACAGACTAAATGGCAATAATACATAATCAATAACACTCATACAATTTGCACCATGAAAAGTAAATCACCAGAGAGATCGTCTAAATCCCCACCATTCAGTATCGGTAGAACAGTGGATTAATAAAAGTTTGATAACCTAGTACCAAAATCGTTACCTCCTGGACCGTGTTTTTTTCTAACTGACAGAAGCATTTCTTCATCAGTATCACCAAAATAATTGAAATAGATTCAACGTGCGATTTTATTCATACATGTAAAATATCAAAGGAAATAAAATCTTCAGAAGTACGTGTACGACTATTTAAATTATCTAAGACTATTATATTCCTGAATTCAGAATATTCTATTAGATCATTTTCCAGAATTGAAAAAAAATCACAGTTATAATGTTTATAATAACGAGATGAATTGGGTGAAAGATATGTGAATAAAAATATTAGTTTATTCGTATGACTAGTTAAACGGTTGTCAATAGTAACTGGTATGATGGTATCATTCAAAAAAGAATATCATTGCTCATTAATAACACTGACCCACCACCTTGTGTACAGCGTGTTCATTTTCGTTGTACAATCATGGGATGAAAATCGTTCAACTCCCACGTGTAGTCATTTGGAATCCAACACGCAGATAAAAATTTTGTATCATATTTAAAAATAAAATTTTGGAATCCTACAAATTTTAATTTGTTTTCTAAATCACCATTCACATTTAAGGAAACAATCTTAATATCAGAATTTGTAACAGCTTGTTCTGCCAAATCAGACTTACTACTGTCATTAATTATTACCCCTGACAACCCCTATCTACGAGACTGCGTAGCTGTACATTTGAATCGACATCTCCACATGGAATAGCGTTGGCCGGAAGTCGGTGTCCGATCAAAAGCATCACGGTAGGACTGCCGTCTGATGTCTCCTTGTGAGGAACTGGGTGTTGTCTCTGTAACTTCATCCGAAGAGACATCATGGCACAGTTTTCCGTGAATGTACAGCCGATCTTATTATTCTGTTGGACAGGGAACATTCACCATTAAACACAGTCAGTTATTTTGAAGGACGCGTCTGTAAAACCTGAGAACTCCTGTGGTTTACATAGCAAGTTGTGAACTATGGCCATCTCTATCCTGGGCCAAATTCTCATCTTCCTATTCTATTTCCTATAAGATCTCACACATTACTACAGTAATACGCAGAAATCATCTGCCACCCCGGATTTGGTTAAAACAAATAAAGCTGCGAGAAGATCTAGAATTTGAAAATACATCAGAACAATTGATTATGACTGTAGCAATTAAAATTTGAAGATTGACAACTGAAAACTCTTGACCATTGAAAGGGATCTACAACATCTACAGTTAACTATATCTTAAAGCTATCCATTACGCTAAAGAAAAGAAAGAAAATGACAAGAAATTGATTCACCACTACATTTTTTAAAAAGATATCTTTTTCTCTCTACTGTTGCAATGCTTCTATTTAATGCAACTACATAGTACAGAGAAAATCTAAAATTCATTCTTTTTCTCATTCAGATTATGACTTATATTTATAAATAGCAGTCAATAAGTCAATTCTTTTATGTAATCCATTAGATTGTTGCAACATCAGTCCATGTTCTTAATTTTCAAGCAGCAAGTCCATGAGCTTTTTGCAGGTCCAATGTAATGATATACAATGCACTAAATGCGATACTAGAAGCAAACATAATCAAATCTTCTTTTAACAAAGAAAGTCAACTATGTCAGGTAAAATCAGAAACGTATAATCGAGGGATTTAAGACTGTTTTTCTACTTTTCCTGTTTGTTTTAAATGCTAGAAAATCCATGTTTGTATCTATTTTGATATCTAATTATTATAATTGTCTTGACATGTGCTAATCATAACGTATGAATTGATATTTTCTGTATGATGATTGTACCATGGAATATTTTGAATCGAAATACTGTATCAACTATAGTTGATTAGCGTTGCTGTTAAATTAGTATAGATCTCAATTTTCAAATTAATCTCGCTACCTTTTGAGACAAACATTTTCTGTTTACTTAGATTTTTTAAAAACAAAAAGCGTGTTTGTGCTTTTCACAACTGAAGTATCACCCTATATCTCAGAAAGTAATTTGTAAATCCGTGGCACTTAAATTCTCAATAATTTTCCGTTGAACAATGTAGTTTTTATGATTTGTCATTTTAATTCATTTGTGTTACTAGATGAGATTCCCTTTTCACTGTCAAATTTGCTTTGGTTAGACCGGTCATTGCAAATAGTCATACAACGTCAGTCTTAATCAGTGTCATACGTTGTACAAAGTCTTATCTAGGTATACTCGTTATTTCTTATTGATTACAAGTTATGGAAACTTAGTTAATCACTTGTAGTAGACATGAACATTTTTTCTTTAGAACACGGTTTTGATACATGTAGTAGTGTGTATTCGTTATTTTATTAAATTGTTTGTATTTTATTTAACAAGCTGACAAGACATATTTTTCTATCAAGCTGACAAGACATATTTTTCTATCAAGCTGACAAGACATATTTTTCTATCAAGCTGACAAGACATATTTTTCTATCAAGCTGACAAGACATATTTTTCTACCAAGCTGACAAGACATATCTTTTCCTACCAAGCTGACAAGACATATTTTTCTATCAAGCTGACAAGACATATCTTTCTATCAAGCTGACAAGACATATGGTCACAACAAAGGTTCTCAGGTTACTCCATTGTATAGTATTCTACCACGCTGACAAGACATATATTTTTATACCATACTGACAAGAAATTATAGTTTTTCTACCAAGTTGACAAGACATCATTCTCCACCAAGCTGACAAGATATATGTTTTTTTCTGCCAAGCGGACAAGACATTTTTTTTCTGCCAAGCTGACAAGACATATATTTGTTCTACCAAGCTGACAAGACATATATTTTTCTACCAAGCTGACAAGACATATCTTTTCCTACCAAGCTGACAAGACATATCTTTTTCTACTACGCTGACAAGACATATATTTGTTCTACCAAGCTGACAAGACATATATTTTTCTACCAAGCTGACAAGACATATCTTTTCCTACCAAGCCGACAAGACATATCTTTTTCTACTACGTTGACAAGATATCTATATTTTTATACCATGCTGACAAGACATATTTTATTCTACCAAGTCAACAAGACATTATTCTGCACCATGCTGACAAGACATATGTTTTTTCTGCCAAGCTGACAAGACACATATTTTTCTACCAAGCTGACAAGACATAAATTATTCTACCAAGCTGACAAGACATATATTTTTCTACCAAGCTGACAAGACATATATTTTTCTACCAAGCTGACAAGACACATATTTTTCTACCAAGCTGACAAGACATATTTTTCTACCAAGCTGACAAGACATATGATCACAGCAAAGGTTCTGGGTTTACTCCGTTGTTTTTTTCCAAAACCAGTTATTTTCTCTCTAAAGGACACTAGAATTCAATTTCCGAGTGCAACACACGTATTCTGTGTAAAGAGTGATTAATTGAATTCCGACAAATCGACATTACCGTCATTCCTTAATATATACCAACATTTCATATTGTAATATCATTTTATCTGAAATTAATTCCTGGTAATAGATAAGATAGTGGGGCTAGAAATGTTTTACGACGGAAATAGAACATTGACTAGGAATAGTGTGAACACTGCCTCATGTCTATTTTTAGAACATGTATATATCCACATGACAGTGTGTATACAGTCAGTCGGGATATCGAGGATCAAGTCAGCCAGGTAAGTAACATTACATTGCTATATAACTATATCTGAAAACTGGAGAAATAATATAAAATTGTGTCCATATTTTAATACTAAACAAATGAGGATTATTTGATAGTGACTACCATCTAGTATGAGTTAGCAAAAGACAGCATCTGTCGTGTTGTATCAGTTATACATATATGTACATATATGGTGTGATTTCATTATTACTAGAATTAAAGAAAACAATTATTGTCAAATATCAGCTAGTCAACAGTCTTAACTATGTATCTTATTAATCAGTCTGGGACGAATTCAATTCTTGTAGCGTCATATAATAAATTTAGGTTTCAGTTATCTAAAGTGACCTGGCGGACTTCGTGGTTACATACCTGATAATAGATATACATATCTATCTAGCTTAAAAAGATCAATTCATTTGTTTGTTTTGAATTATTGTTGACACGTTTATAGTGTCATCACACTGAAACGGTGTGACGTTGACATATAAGTATGCCGCGTTGATTATATTATACTAACAATGGTCCGCTAGTTCTTGTACATCCTTTTCAATGTTGAGCGACATTACCATCCCTGTTTTTGACTGTGTCGAGTTTGTTGGGACGTTACATGTGAGGCAGTGTCTCATTAGTTGTTAAACAGACGCTTCTGTTTAAAACATTCAAAAGATTAGTCACTTCTCACGAACATGGAAAAGGGAGGGTAAAATTCTAATTGGTATCCATGCATGGCATTGAACAAAGTTTTGGGTGGTTATTGAAACACAAACATTATCATCATTCAGCTTTATCATATGCAAATAGAGCATACGTACGTGTATCTGTAATCGCATTGTTCCTCAAAAGAGATAACTTCCAAAAAAAGGGGGACAAACTTTACAGACGCTTACAGACACTTCCGTTACTCGCATCTAGTTTAGTCTGGTACGGTTGGTCACCATTACTCGCAATTGCCCTGTCGTGTAATGTATGCGAAATAGTTCTGACGTCATACGCTGTGTATGATATACATACTAAATATTGTTCTTATAAACCACAATTTGCAGAAAAATACATACTCGGAGGGAAACATTTCCAATAATTGCATAATTCTGAAACTAAAATGCAAATAACACTGCAGTCTGGATACGACACATTGTTAAGATCGTCTACGGTCCATCTAAAAAATGGTTTAGTTTCATACAAGTATTTAAATCTTTCAGTAAAAGAATAATGGCGTCCGTTTCTGTGCTCAACAACACTTTCTGTTGCCTGAAAATGTGTAGTAATAAAAGTCTAAAGCCAAGTGACAATAAAGTCCATGTTCGAGCACCTTATCAGCGCAAGGAAGGCGGGTTCAACGCCAAGGAAGGTAAGCATAGCATTATATGGTAGATTACCAGCGCAAGGAGGGCGGGTTCAACGCCAAGGAAGGTAAGCATAGCATTGTAAGGTAGATTAACAGCGCAAGGAGGGCGGGTTCAACGCCAAGGAAGGTAAGCATAGCATTGTATGGTAGATTATCGGCACAAAATGAATTTCATGCATACAAATTACATTCAAACAAGATTTTTATCAATGCTTGTGTCAGAGGCAATGCTAAGATATGTTCCTGTGTAAATAATAGTAAATATATTATGTATTGAGTTCATAACATAAATATATCTACTCTTTTATTTACTTTACTATTTACTTTTAAATGTATTGATATATCTTTCAGCCGATTTATCTATGACTATAAAGAGAGGGATATCTAATTGGTTAATGGTAGTCACTTCAGATATCAAACAAATGCCCAACAAACTGACCTTCATTGTTATATAAATTTAGCGGAAATGCTCGCTGTCTGGGACGTCAATGGAGAGGCGAAATTTCACATGAAATGTTGGAAGACCATGCGGGAGGCAGCAACCAAAAAGTCGAAATCAGATAACAACTTGCAAAACAGTAACAACGTAAAAAGCAACAACCATGTCACACCTGAAAACCAAGGTTCATGTAACACGCACATAACAGAGCTGGAGAAACTGCTAGTGGCCGAGGCATCTTTGACAGTGGAATTTTATAACTCTGACGTCACGTTAAAGAGAGAAGCTAAGAGGATAGCTTCCATGCTGAGGAAGTGTAAATATTCTATAGTGTTTACTGGTACGTACTGAAATTTTTTAATCATCTTACTGTGGCCAGTTCAATAACATATTTGCGATGGCGCTACTGCCTTTCAAATTCAAATTTATGATATACCTCATAGTCAGATGGTGTCTTTTTCCCGTTCAGGTTGGTAATGTCAATAGAATAGAAGTTCTTATAGCACAACCAGTGGCAGAGTATGACGTTTCGATGGCTACACGGTCACCTTCATCAGACAAATGACCAGTGTAAACTGACGTACGTAGTGTGCGAGATGGTGAAGAATCAACCTATTTTACCGCTGAACTCTAATCCTATATACACTATAATCTAAAATAGTGTGACGAGATGGTACACATATTTCATACCAAAAAAGCAATACATGGTAACAATACACTGTAGTCAATTCGGCTACGCTTTGTTTAGCACTTGGTCATCGATGTTGTTACCATCTGGCGTGATTTTTGGTCTATAATCTGTATACCATCTCGTCACACTATTTTAGACCTTAGTGTACATAGGATTAGAGTACAGCGGTAAAAGTTGGTCGATTCCTTACCATCACGTATGGTGCTTACGTCAGTGCCAGTGCTCTCCACAGTCTCATGGAGGTGACCATGTAGTCATCGAAACGTCACACTCTAATCTTCCACTGGTTGTGTAATAAGAGCTTCTATTCTACTAAGAAGGTGTCTGTTTGTTTTACTAGGATCTGGGATATCAACACCTACAGGTGCTGGGGATTACAGAGGCATCAACGGCAAGTGGACAAACCAGGACAAAAACAATGGTAAACCTCCTGTCTGTTTACAAATAATATCATGCTTGTATGGGTAGCGTTAGATTCAGATTTTATATCACAATTACATAAGTGACATTTTCCTTGCAGAAAAAAATCATACATAATGGAATAAAAAGAACACTTATTGTATTCTCATGCTTCAGCAGGAATTAAGACATACATATAACTGAACGAACATTTATATTAAATATATGAGCAGTTCTTCTTGGACAGCAATGTCCTTGAATCTTGCAAAACTCCGATTGCTATCATGAATTTATCATGAAAGGACCGAATACCTTTATTGATTCTTACAAGCAGGTGCAGCAACTGCTAAAAGTCGTGGTCCTCGAATTGAGGACATTCGACCGACCTACACACACGAAGCTTTGGTCAAACTTCTGGACATGGGTCACGTGAAGCACGTAATCAGCCAGAACACGGACGGTCTGCACCGACTCTCTGGCATTCCTGAAAGCAAGTTGTCCGAACTCCATGGTAACAGCTTCATAGAAAAATGTGAATCCTGCGGCACGACTAGTGAATTACATCATGGATATCGAAAAGGGCCGACAGACGCATCTATCCCGCCGACTATTTGCGAGATGTGCAAATGCAATCATCGAACTGGTCGACGATGTGCTGAAAAGGTAGTCTGTTCAATATTTGTATCACCCAATTACTCAAACATGTTAATATATAATATAAACAGACATCTGCTTTCCAATCAAACACTTTTATAATCACTTTTATTTTTTATAGTCTTAAAATTCAAATCCAAAATCCTTATGATAAGCAAAAATACGTAAGATTATTCCAGATAAGCAGATGCAGTTTCTCAATTGTGTTTTTTTTTTTCTTCTCAGAACTGCGGTGGTTATATGCGGAGTACCATTGTCAAATTCGGTGACACATTAGACGAAGAGGTTCTCGGTGGCGCAATGGCACAGGCAGAAATGGCTACATTTATACTAGTCCTAGGTTCAAGTCTGCTCGTATCACCAGCTAACAGTCTTATACAAACGGACAAAGAACCACTACGACTAGCAATCTGTAATCGGTGAGTAGTTTAAGTAAATTGTCTTAACTTTTTTTCCTTTGTGGTTCGTTGTTAAATGGATTAGACGTGCAAATACAACCGTTTTTTAACCCTGCATTTTGTTTCTTAAAATGAAATTCACGAATACAGTAAATGATCAAATCAGACAACCGTCATGCATTATCTATCTCACACTATATGTTTTCTTTGAGAAAATAAATCTTTTGCAAATCATAAATAAATTTGACTTCCAGACAGGTAACGGCGTACGATGTGAAGTGTTTCGAAATAGACAACTCTGGAAACCAGCTTGGATCGCGTGTATTCGGCGACTGTGACGACCTCATGCGGGAGGTGATGAGGTGTCTGATGGATCCGGACGAACACCAACTCTGGGAGGACGGACGTGCGGACAGAATGAAAACATACGATTCCAACAGGGCTCATAGTAGCCGTCAAAGGAATGTTTGATTAAGTTGTAGTCTCGTTAACAAACTGTTGCTGAGGGCGAACCTGTGTGTGAGTGAGATACACGGCTTTTACAATCAAAACAATCGAAACATCGTCGTAAAACCTTTTACTGTGTATACTATTGTGAAACTGACATACTTTTATCTATTGTGTTCAGATTAATACATAATATCACGTACTAAAACATTTTAAGTCCTTGATAACATTGAAGTATCTAGCACTCGCTATTCATATTGTGTCAAATGACTGATAATTACATAGGACAAGGAAGTTATCTCTAAATGGCTGCATCTGTTGTTTACAAAACCAGCCATGCATGAAATTATTTCATACTTGTTATTGATATCAATAAGATGAAATTATATTATTGCAAAGTATAGAAACACGTAACAATTCAAGTATATAGATTTAAGTCATTATTGTGTGGACGGAATTCATCTCCACGTAACCAATGGTCTCTTCAACCCGGACAGGCGTGATGTTTTCATATAATGCATGCTTGTATCTATTGTGACAATGCATAACAAATGATTCATAACAAATGAGATTATTAAAAGCCCGAGAAATGCATGACTTGTACTGAGTTTGAATAACTGATATAACCGGTAATTACATCTCTGTAAACATTGGTTTCAAAATCGATAAAAAAAAAACGTATTTGAATTCATGTACGGACGAACTCCATTTTCAACATTGTCAATGGTAACTTGCTGAGTGTATATAATAACTGGACATTATAACTCTGTCATACTCTATTTCATCCCCTGGTACACTCAACCGAAGTTTACATCAAACTCTGATGTGGGTAACATGGAGTTTATAGCAAACTGTGATCTCGGTAACATATGGTTTAGTTTAAACTGTGATCTGAGGAATGCCTTGTTTCAATCAAACTCTTGTTTGGTGGGTAACATGGAGTTAACATCAAACTCTGATGTGGGTAACATGGAGTTAACATCAAACTCTGACCTGGTGGGTAACATTGAGTTAATATCAAACTCTGATGTGGGTAACATGGAGTTAACATCAAACTCTGATGTGGGTAACATGGAGTTAACATCAAACTCTGATGTGGGTAACATGGAGTTAAATTCAAAATCTGATGTGGGTAACATGGAGTTTACATCAAACTCTGAAGTGGGTAACATGGAGTTTACATCAAACTCTGAAGTGGGTAACATGGAGTTTACATCAAACTCTGATCCGAGTAACATTAGGTTTACATCAAAGTCTGATCTGAGTAACATTAGGTTTACATCAAAGTCTGATCTGAGTAAAGTTGGGTTTATGTAAAACTTGGGTAGTGTGGAATGTTACGATTTTTTGTTCATATTGGTATGTAAATGGATTTTCGTTTACAGTAATATCTACAAAAATCTATTAGCAAAACATGGAATGTGGTTTTTTGTAACCAATTTATATATCTAAAGATATTTCTGAATTTTCTACATGTATATAATAACAGTTTGTGATTTCAAAAATAATCTAACGAATTGTGTCTCCAAAACTGCCATTGTGATATACCTCGAAGACTATGTTCGCTGTTTTACCTGGTCAGGGTGGCGATGTACTGATGTGTAAATCACAAATAAACTCTCATAATTTGTGAAATTTGATTTTCAAACTTGCTAGTATTCAAATACTGAAATTATAGTTAAGATGTCAGAAAAACCTCTTTGTCAATGCATCGTTCATTCTTACATACGCTACCTGTAAAATATTACATTGTCTCATACAGTGTCACATACAGTGATTATAGTATGTAGAGGGATAAGAAACTTGAGTCTACAGCTAGTCCCCAGTTCCTAGTTCTGTTTAAGAAAAACGAAACTGCGAACCAGATCCTGGTATGGTTTGAGAAAATTTATATGTTGGCAAAAGGAGAAGTCGAATGGCCATGATATTGTGTTAACTTGGTACAGCATTCGAACCTAAAACCTTTCATTTAGAAAGTAATACTACCATAGCTTTCTTAGAGGTATTGGTTTTATACTGAACTCACATTCAAACTCCAGTTTCGTTTAACCTTAAATGGAGCTAGGAACTGAGAACCAACTTCAGTCTCCCTAAGAAACTTTTGCTTTTGGTCTTGTGCTCCCGAGTCGTGAAATCCTCTCTTCACCATGTTGCTATGTAACCTTATCTACCTATGCACTATTCACTTCTATGGCCCTGGAGCTGTCAAACCAAACTAGTACATGTATAATCAAACGATCACCACTACTGATGGTTCCACCCCTCTGAGGAGGGTGCAGGTCACCTCTTTGTGTCGCCAGAACACTGATGTTCGCTGGTGAGACGATACCCGAACACGGGAAAAGTCACAGTGACGGAAAACCTGTCAACCAGAAAAAAATGTCCCTTCTATGCTGGTCGACCTGATAGGCATGTGAGAAGTGCATCTCGTAATCCTAACAAAAAATAACACTGATAAGTTACAATGACATATATGTGAAGAAATCTTAATGATTGCTAGATTTCATACATCAGAACATGGAACACAACCACACCATGACACCGGCATTATTAATTACACACAACTAATCAAAATCTCGCTTTGACAGCTGTGAATTTTAAAGCAGGTATTGTTCACATATTTGATCAAAACTAATAGTCCTCTACCCTAGCATGCTATTGGCCAAACTGACTATACACAGGCACAATTTCAATAATATACAATAACATCATGTACAATTTTTATCCATGCATTTATATACAATACTGATGTTAATATCATATAACAGACAATTTGCCACTATGATCATGTCAACAATTTCCAGCTGTCTACCGTTAAAACTTCCAAACATCCTTTTTAGGGGGGATGATTTTGGGGTAGTTTAGTTGGTTGAGCAGTTGTTGAATTTCTTGACTAGGCGATCTGGTGCAAAAATTATGAGTTTGAGGCTTAGTTAGGGCATGAGTCAAAAACTGTTTCTTTATCACTTGTATAACCATGTTCAGAAATATACATGTGTGTATATCAAGGTTAACAAAGTATTTCTTCAAAGACATTCATAGCACTTAATCCCAGCTAGTAATGGAAAAATACAACCCTGGACCTCTTGTTTATCTAAAATTAAAGAAGCCAATTAAAGGCTTAAAATATTTTTACCCACTTGGCCTTGAATGCATAAAAATTATCTGTCTGAATAAAATTGCATAGTCCTTCATCCTAGCATGAAGCTATACTGTACATATTGTTGTGTGAATACATAACAATAAGAATCTCTACATTTGAGGGTATATTTAATACTCTTAATTTTCTGTAAACACAATCATTTTTGTCTAAGTTTTGGTCATAATTAATAAGCATGTGATCTGATCAAGGCAAGGTACCATTCATCAAAAAAAAGTCAATGTTTTGTCAGAGAAGTTTCCGTCCAGATTTCTTTTTATATTTAATTGGAATTTCTGTGAGTTGAGATTTTTCTGTTTCAAATGTTTTCAGTTTGGCCACCATCACTGGGGGAAGCTTCATTACTTTGGGACGGTTATCAACAACCTGAAGTTTATGATCAATTTTACAGAAAGATTCCTCGTCTTCTCTTGGTACCAGGTGCCAATCCTGTTTCATGCCACTGTCTATCTGGAAAATTTTATCAAATGTATGTCCTCTATGCACCCTGTATCCTGTGGCAGTACCTCCCTTAAAATTCTGAAAAAAGGAAAAGAACATACCACACTCATTCAGGTGAAAACTTCCAAGCCCTTCTTAGAGTATAACTAGATATATCTGTCAATCTTGCTATACATTCTAAATCATATGATTAGAATGCTCAGAATGGTAAATTATGAGAGAAATTCAGGTTTTTGGATAAAGTAGAAAGCATGGGTAATGATATGTGAATCTTGTCTGAGAGTGATCCCTGATGCACCCTTAATTTGAAAAATGTGATAACTTATTTTCATTCTGTTTTTTTTTTCTTCAAGTTTTTGGTTTTGAGAACAATTTGCTTGCTTGGCAGTTCAACACAACTCACCCTTTGAAGGTTTTTTAATTGATGATCTTTCCAAAAGATCTTTCTGATGAAACTTTGGAAATTCAGAGCGAAACATGTGTTATATATATACAAATGTTATACTTTTACAATGCATATTACATTAACTGAAGCAGTTATACTTAAAATATTTATCACTATTCCATATACATCAGAACTGGGATTTTTTCTTTCATTAAAAGGTGCTGTTAATAAAGCAAAAAAAATAAATCTGAAAGCATTGTGCTGGAACATCTTTTATCATGTGTCCCAGCGGTGCCTCTGATAAAGTTCCAAAATAACGCAAAGAATGAGGAAATGTTCATGACATGTGTTTATAAAATGAGAAAACTGTTTCAACAACCGATTTTCTGCCCCCAACTATTTGAGTTACTTCCCTTGGTACGTGTCGAACCACAGTTCAAGCTTACATTAGATATATCGTTGATGATTGTATAACAAGCATAAGTTTGAATGGTACATTACAATTCATCACTTTTTCATTATGTGGTGATGCTTATCTTGTTGTTGTTTTTATTTGGCTATTTTTTTTAATTGCACTATCTTGAATCGCTTCCTTTTACCGAATACTATCAGGGACTACGGGCAACATTGTAACCTATATAAAGAGATGAAAATCACAGAACATATTTATGCTGTAAATGAAAGTCTATATCCAACAGATAAAATGTTTTCATTTACCTCCTTTGAAAGATCTGGCTTCACGTCTTCCAAGATGACATAAGTTTTGGCCGGATTTGTAGAAGCCGCCCATTTAGTTCTGTACACAACACGACCTTTGCATGACTTCAAGTTCGCAGCAATCTCAAAGATCGTCTTTCCTTTGAAGTGGCTTTCACGTCCAATATATCGTATAACCTTTGCCATATTTACAAAGATTTCCTAATTGTTAATATATTAAAATGAATGAAAGATGTATAAATAAATTGAAGTTTCTCAAAACGTGACAAACGCAGCCATATTGAAAATTAGTAAAATATGAAAACAACACCGGTCACGGCTACATCCGGAATGGAAATTGGCAACAGAAATTGATAATAAATAAATAATAATTTCGGAATCACTAGGCGGCAAGCGAAATGTAAAGGTTAACCATTAAAAATTTGTATCAGTTACAGAACATATAATTATCGTAATTCTAAACTAGGCCTGACACTACCTTATGCCGATTGAAATACAGAAATATATTATAATCAGGGCGAAATAAACACTAATGTGAACTTGTCTAGGATTGTGTCTGTTTATTTACCTTTAATAAATAGCAATAATAATAATACTTGAAAGTATTCAATCTCAAACAATGGCAATAGAATTATTTACATGCAGACTTTGATAAAATATTTAAAATACGCCACATTCTCAAATGAGAACGAAGTAAAATTTTATATATTCTAACATACCTGGCCGACATTGTGAGATAGAGCAACAATTCCAGTTTCAGTTTTTACCGATTTCCATTGTTAATAAAACTTCCCACTATAATATAAATGCAGAGTTAAGACAGCTGGCCAAAATGTTCACTAACAAAACAAATCTCATGAGCCTTACAGGATATCATTTGTCAACCATTGCCATACCATTCAAGTTTACCATGAGTGTTTTGCTATGTTTAACTATAAAATACTTCATATTATATGATAAAATGTTTGGTCCGCTTCCAAGATATATGGGTAGCCCACATCTGTGTCGTCACAAGTTAACACCAAATTAAGGAGTTTTGCACCGTCCGTTAAAGTCTTGCGGATATAAGTAATATATTGTAGTAATGAACAACAATCTGATCAGACTTCCGCATTTTATTTATTGGTATATATCTTCATGACCGAGTACGCATAATCAATCCGCTAACTAACTTTAAGTTCATGTTACCTCTTACTTACTTGCTGACGTCCCTTTGATCACATAGCTTGACAAGGGTATAAAGGTTTATATTTGGCCTCTTGCCATGAGCACGTGAAGATGTACCTGATGCTGGTACCCTCTACCCTCTACCCTCTTCTCCACCCTGTTCCTTCTATCCCTATGACATGCAGCAATCAATATTCAGACAGACAGACCTTCGCACATCTATAACCAAGTGTTGAACAAAGCTTAGCCGAAATGGTTACAGTACATTTTTGCCACATCACGTGTTTCTGGTCTGTAATCTGTTCACCATCTCGTCACACTATTTTAGACCTTAGTATACATAGGATTATATTACAGCGGTAAAAGTTGGTCGATTCCTTACCATCTCGTACACTACGTACGTCAGTGTTAGTACGCTCTACACTGGTCATTTGACTGATGAAGGTGACCGTGTAGTCATTGAAACGCCACACTCTAATATTCTACTGGCTGGGTTATAAGAACTTCTATTCCAAATGTAATTGTGTCTGAGTTACAGACAATACTCTGTTATATATTACTGTAGCTATGCTTTAGTACAAAATGACGCGCGTGGAAGTGGTGAATATGAGCTGCTATTGGCACTTGTGCATATATAACACGTGTGGTTTTTACATACAATGCATTTACCTGTAAATGAACAGCTGCTTTTTTTTTTTTTTTTTAATAAAATATAGAAAAAATATTGTATTTTCACGGCGTCACACGTTCGATCCCTGTTGTTGTTATTTTTTCCCGTTTATTTTCATTAATAAACTAACTCTAGCAGCGAGTGTCGTTTAATTCAATTTTTCGTGTCAAGGAATGATTACTGGTCAAAAGACAACCTGTAGTCTCAGGTGATAATGAAAGGCAGCCGACTAATTACATGATAATTAGTAACAAAGATTCCGACTTTAGAGTGGAGGTATGGTAAATGCCACAAGTTACATCAAAATAAAAACCGCACTCTCCCCTCCCCTCTCCCTCCCCTCAATACAAGTAGAATTAATCTGATCATAATTGATACATTATTTTATTCATCTCAATAATGATAATAATATTGATATAGTAATTACTATAGTTATGATAACAAGTTGATGAGTTAATGATGATACTTTTGCAAACTTCTAACAAGGCGCTAATGGCACCTGTATTGCCCATCTGGTTTAGTTTGCTGAAAGTTGTTTAATATAAACTAAAAGAAAAAGAATTTATAACACTTGTATTTAAAACCACGTAATGTACTTATCCCCGAGGCTCCCCACAAAGGGTGTTAGGTGCACTCATTTTTTTAAAAAAATAAATCAAAATAAAAGAAAAATAATTGAAAACACTCGTATCAATGTACCCTTAATATAATTGTCCCTCCTTACAAAGGGGGTGTTACATGCACTGTCTTCAGTACCAATAGAAGAAGGATTTTATAGAATTTGCTCCTTTTCCGCTACATTTGTATTTGTCCACGTACCTCCTTTCCCAGCGGACATTGGAGGGGGGACTACTGTTTATACATTGATCCCCTTCACCAAATTATGTCTCAGATCAAATTGGGACAGAATCCATGCATTGCCTACATAAAAAGAATGCTTATAAAGAATTTTCCTTATTTTTCCTATTTTATCCAATTTCTCCCACCCTAGGGTTTAGATCCACCGATGATACAAAACTGATTCCTTTTTTCAACCAGGTATGCTTAGGCTTGCCAAACTGAAACAACATCCAAGTATTTCTACAGAATGATACTGATTTTAACAACTGGTACAATTTCTCTTATTGGGTCCAACCCACTCCCATCCCCCACCCCCATTTTCCCGCTCCAAAGCGCCGAAACACGAAGTTTCAACAAAACTAACTCCTCTTGCAGTGATGGCATAGATAAAACATGTATGATGTCATGTTTAATGTCATGTTTAAGGGAAGAGGATGGAGAGAAGAGGTAGCGGTAGGGGGTAGAGGATAGAGGAAGAGGGTAAGGGGGTGGGAATAGAGGATAGGATCGAGAGTATGGGGTAGAGGGTAGGGATTAGAGTAGGAGGTAGCGGGTAGTGGGTAGTGGGCGCAGGGTACAAAGTACAGGGCAGAGAGTAGGAGGTAGGGGTTAGAGTAGAGGGTAGGAGGTAGAGGTTTGAACATACAACACTTTTCCCTAATACGGTCGACTATGTAATTGTTTATACTATAAGAAGAAATAGATTACAAATCATTGTTATACCCAATGATATACCGTTATAACAGTGATGACGGACTTAGATTGTCCAAAACACACTCAAGTGAATAGCTCCTTTTAATACAGAGAAATTCGGTATCTCTAAAAGTTGCATCATTCCCATTCTTTATTTTTCTCTCTATTTTTGCTCTCAAGAATGGGAAATTTGTAAATTCCTATTAAGAAATAGCAATAATGATCATATTTTTTCTTATTCGCCATGGTCGCGTGTAGGGGTAGAGGTACGGGTACATGGGGCAGGATAAGGGATAGAAGGGACAGAGTAGAGAGAACAGGATTTGGGGTTGAGGGTATGGAAGAATTCTGCAAAGTTTCATTGAAATGGGTTTTTTTCAGAAATAGGGATAGAGGGTAGGGTTTAGAGGGGGTGGGGCTTAAATTCTGCAGAGTTTCGTTGAAATTTGTTTAGTTTCAGAAAGAGTCACAAATTATTAAAAAAAATAATTTAAACGCACGACAGAGAAAAGGGTCGCAACAGGTCGATATGACATGTAAATGGTTCAAGATATTGAATTTTGGGTAGAGGGTAGGGAATAAAGGGGGTGTGTTAAATTCTGCAGAATTTCATTGATATTGGTACAGCGGCTTTCCAAAAAACAATTAGTCGCAAATGTAAAAAAAAAAAAAAATTACAGCCGCATGACTGAGAAATGGAATCGCGTGAACAGGTCGCAATGACCTGTAAACGGTTAAAGATACTGTAGTTTGGGTAGGGGTCAAACATAATGACAATCAACCTCTTGGTAGACTAAGGGAAAAAAACATTATACCACTGACAGTAGATCAATTTTAACAGTCTTGATTGGCGTTAATCAAAACGTCTTGCTAGTAAAATATTAGGAAGATTTCTTCGCTGTACATTTGACCCCTAGTTGTTTAAGGGGACTAAGTACGAAGCCTTGTGAAGCTATTATATTTTACAACAACATCAACAACATCTCTTTGTTTTTGCCACAATTGACTTCACCTCGCGATAAAGACAAGAAACAATATTTATGGCGTTTCCTGTACCAGAACTATGTGTATAGGAATTCCTTTTGTATTGTTGAATTGAATTTTTAGGTCAAGAATTTGTCGTGTTTAACCGATTTAATTTAACTTTGCGCCAAATCGCCAATTTCGATCTATTTTAGTAAATAAACCACCTATGTCATATGTCTTTAGGCTTTGTTGTGTAGGTCTACATTCCTAAGAAATCGTTTAACATTCAAATATCTGATAGTGTGAGTATTAACCCTAGGGTTCGCGCTTGGCGGTTTTCATTTTCAGGACATGGTAGGCAATGTATGTAAACTATTTTAAACAATTTATGGACTGACCTTAATATACAATGTACTATCTCTCTACAAGTTATTACATATACAAACATTGTCGTATTAGCCTATAGCAAAACACTTAACTGCTTTTTTTTTATCTAGGGCGCATTCTACTATAATGCTAAGTAAAAGCAGCCGTTCACCTGTTTTAAAAGGAAAGAATTTGTCATAAACATTAATGTCCTTGACATTTGAATTAAAGATATACATACAATCCAGGCGACTGACTAGGGGTTTAAACGGCATAGTCAGTCACTGTCTTGTAAAATCTACAGTAGTTAAATTTCATTATCACAGACTTTCTTCACGAGTCTCGTTTTACATACATGTTTATGTAGCGTAGATATGGTACATATGTTTGTGTCGGATACACGTATTCATGTACGTAGTGTACATTGAAAAGGATAGACGTGTTTCTGTAATAAAACATGTTTTCTGAATAGAATGTGATATTCCTATGGATGGTGTGATACTTTTGAGTTACTTGGTATGATTAAGTCGCCATG